ACAGACTCTAACCCTACATATTCTAACCATACAGACCCTAGCCCTACACACCCGATCCCTACAGACCCGACTTAACCCCACAGACCCTATTCCTGAAAACTCCAATATTACAGACCTGAACCCTACAGACCCTAACCCTACAAACCCTACTGAACCTACAAACCTTAACACCACAGACTCTAACCCGACAGACCCTAACCTTACAAATCCTCACCCTACAAACCCTAACCATACAGACCCTACTCACCCTACATACCTTAACTCTACATACCCTAACCCTGGATACCCTAGCCGAGGATGCCTCAGGTGAAACGCGCGTGTTTTAACATTTCCTGAAATGAGAGGGAAGCACGTGGAAGGGAAGAGTTGCGCAAGAACTTGCAGCATCACCTCGATCAAATACAATATGGGTGATATCTCCGAACGCTCACAAGAAATGCGTATGGACACGCACCCGCCGAACGTTCACAAGCACATTCCAGACTATCCTCCCCACTCCTCCGAATGAGGAGGACGAGGGCGAAGACGACGACCAAGGGAGGAGAAGGAGGAGGAGGAGGCTGAGAAGAAACAGAAGCAGCAGCAGGAGAAGAGGGTGAGGAATGGAGGGTAAGGAGGACGAGGCAGAGGAGGAGCAGGAGCAGGAGGACGGGGAAAAAGGAGGGACGACGAGAAGGATGAGGAAGGATAATGAGGAAGAAGGGGAGGAGGAATGGAAGGAGGAGGAAGAAGAGGAGGACGAGGAGGAGGAGGAAGACCAGGAGGAGGAGGAGGAGAGAAGGAGAAGGAAGAAGAGGAGGCGGATAAGGGGGAGGAGACCGACGAGGAGGAAGGAGGAGGAAGGAAGAAGAGGAGGACGAGGAGGAGGAAGAACAGGAGGAGAAGGATGAGGAGGAGGAGGAGGAGAATGAGGAAGAGAAGAAGAAGGAGGAGGCGGAGGAGGAGGAGAAGGCGAAGGAGGAGAAGGAGACCAGGTGGTTTCGAGGGCCCGCTCGCAGGTATTGTTTAGCGGATGTCCCAAGCAACAGGCAATTTAACAAACGTGTTGAACATCCTCGGATTGTTCAATAATTTCGCTTCGTGGGCCACCGAGGAGGTCATGCGAGATCGCTCCGAAAAGATGCCTGACAAGAACACTTCGCGCATCCCATGTCTGTCGAGGCTGTCTCAAGCGAACCGCACATGTTTGGAGGTCCGAAGATTCGAGCAACGATATCAGCATCCCCATGTTCCGAGAGAGTCTCTGGCAGAACGCTCATGTTTAGCATCACAAGTCTTAAGATGCAACCCCCAACCATTTAATCCTCTCGATCATATGAAATATAGGCGAACTCTCCCAACGCTCACAAGAGATACGTTTGGACACGCGACCCCCGAACGTGCACAAGCATGTTCCTGATTATCCTCCTCGCTCCTCCGCATGAAGAGGACGACGGCGAAGACGACGACCGGAGGAGGAGGGGGACGATGACGAGGAGGAGAAGCAGTAGCAGCAGCGGCAGGGGAAGAGGGTGAGGAGGGAAGGGGGAGGATGACGAAGGAGGAACAGGCGAAGAAGGATGGGGGAGGAGGATGACGAGGAGGAAAAGGAAGGAAAAGGAGGAAGAAGGGGAGGAGGAGGAGGAGGAGGAGGAGGAGGAGGAGGAGGAGGCGGAGGAGGAGGAGGAGAATACCGACGAGGTGGGTGAAGGAGAAGGACAAAGAAGGGGAAGAGGAGGACGCCGAGAAAGAGGAAGAGGAAGAAGAGGAGGAAGAACCGGAGGAGGAGGAAGGAGGAAGCGAAGGAGAAGGAGGAGAAGGAGGACGAAGAAGAGGAGGAGGAGGAGGAGACCAGATGGATACAAGGGCACGTTCGAAGGCATGTTCGAGAGGATGTCTCAAGCGACACTCTGATCATTAAGCAAAAGAATTTCAAACCCACGGGATTTTGTCAATGACTTCGCTTCTTGGACCATCTCAGAAGTCATCCGAGATTGCTTTCAAAAGATGCCTGACTCGAGCTCTTGGCGCATCCAATTTGTTCGAGCATGTCTCAAGCGAAACGCCAATGCGTGGAGGCCCGCGGATTAGACCAACGATTTCAACATCCCCATGTTCCGAGGATGTCTCATGCGAAGCGCCCAGGTTTAGCATGAAACGTCTTAAGGTACGACCCCCAACTTCGCGATGTGACGAGGATGTTTCAGGCGAAACGCTCATTTTCCAAACCTTTCCTGACATGAACGGGAAGCGCGTGGAGGCGAGCTCCCCGAACCCTCACAAGGGATAAGTATGGTCACAGGAGGAGGACGAGGAAGAGGAGGAATAGGAGCAGGAGGACGGGAATAACGAGGACGACGAGGAGGAGGAAGGAAAAGGAGAAAAAACGGTAGGAGACCGAGGAAGAGGACGATGAGTAAGAACAAAAGTAGGAGGAGGAGGAGGTAAAGCAGGAGGAGGAAGAGGAGGAGGAGGAGGAGGAGGACACCGAGGAACAGAAGCAGTAGGAGAAGGAGGAGGAGGAAGGAAAAGGAGGAACGAGGGGAGGAGCAGCAGGAGGAAGAACAGAAGGAGGAGGAGGAGGAGAAGGAGGACGAGGAGGAGGAGCAGGAAAAGGAAACGGAGGAGGAGAAGGAGACCAGATGATTCGAGGGCCCGTTCGAAGTATGTTTTAGGGAATGTCCCGAGCGAAGCGTTGTTTCTTAAACGAAAGTGTGAAACAAAAGCACATGGGTTGTTCAATACATTCGCTTCTTGGGCCATCATGGAGGTCATCCGAGATCGTTCCGAAAAGTTGTCTTACAAGAACCCTTGGCATACCCAATTGTTTTCGAGCATGTCCCAAGCGGAACGCCCATGTTTGGAAGTCCGCGGATTCGACCAACGATTTCAACATCGCCATGATCCAGAAATGTCTCGGGCGGAACGCTCATGTTGAGCATGCGACGTCTTAAGGTACGGCCCCCGACCTCGCGAGTTGGCGAGGATGTATCCGGCGAAACGCTTGTTTTTGTTCGAACATGTCTTGGCATGAGCGGGAAGCGCGTGAAAGGGAAAAGTTGCGCGAGAATTTGCAGCACCATCGCGATAGCATGTAATACATGCGAAATCTCCGAACGCTCACAAGGGATACGTATGGTCACGGGGCCCCCAGACGTTCACATACATATTCCTGATTATCCTCCCCAAATGATTTCGAGGGCCCGTTCGAGGTATGTTTAAGGGATGTCTTAAACGAAACGCTGATTCTTAAACGAAAGTGTTTAAAGCACATGGGTTGTTCAATGAATCCGCTTCTTAGGCCATCATGGAGGTCATCCGAGATCGCCCCGATAAGATGCCATACAAAAGCTCGCGGCGCACCCCATTTGTTCGAGGATGTCTCGGGCGCAACGCCCATGTTTGGAGGTCCGAGAATTAGACGAACGAGCTCATCATCCCCATTTGCAGAGGATGACTCTGGCGAGACGCTCATTCGATACGACCCCCAACTTCACGATTTGGCGAGGATCTCTCGGGCGAAACGCTCGTTTTTCAAATCCCTCCTAACCCCCCACTTGATGAATACTTCCCCTCCAAGCCCGTAAACAACGTCCATTGCGCGACCCTTCGAATCTAAGCGCGCTTGCCGTCATCCACCACGTCTCGATGGAGGCCGGATCCCGCCACCACTCCCCCCCTGGACCCCCCCACTTGTTAAATATTTTCCCTTCTGGGCTTATACGCAACGTCCATCGCGCGACCTTTCGAAACTAAGCACGCTTCCCGTCATCCGCCACGTGAGTCTGAAGGAGCAACGCCACCGCCGCACTCCCCCGTGGACCCCCCCACTTGATAGAAGATTCCCCTCCAGGCCCGTAAACAACGTCCATCGCGCGACCCTTCGAATCTAAACGCGCTTCCCGTCATCCGCCACGTGAGTCTGAAGGAGCAGCGCCGCCGCCATTCCCCCCAAGTGGTGAAAATCGATGGCGACGGAAAGATTGGATCGGGATCGGTGCGAGCAGGCGAGAGGGTGCCCGCCCACCGCGCCAGCTGGCGGCGCGAGCGCGTTGTAACCCCCGGGGCGCTGGAACTGGGTGTCCCGGAGACGGCGGCCCACGCATGGGCTTCCGCACGCGTGCGCAGAAGGAACATGCGCTTGGGCGCGGACGGATGCGGGGGAAGCAAGGTGCACTTCTCGGGCCTGAAAGGCTTGCCCTTTGGGATTCTACAGGGCGCCATCTGGGGCCCTAGAGGGCCCTTTTTCTGCAGCCCTCGCCGCCCCCCTTCACTTCTCGCCCCCCCCTTACGCGACGTCCACTGCGCAGCACCACCGCCGTGTCCAGACAGGGGCATCCTGGGCCCTGGGGGCGGTGTGTATACGCCATCCCGGCCGAAGCCAGGAAGGGTCCGTGCGCCATCCCGTGGGGCCAGAAGGACGCCCCTGGCCAGGCACAGCGCTTGGCGACGGCGCAGACGTGCCCATGCGGGATGCGAGGCCTGCCCGTGCAGGTCACACGTCCGAGGCACCCCCAGGTGAGGGGCAGCGATAGGGGGGGACTGGCAGAGGGGGGTACGCCTCGACCTGGAATCGGCGATGCGTCGCCGATAGATCGACGCGATGGGCCCCAGGCAGTGGATCTGCACCTTCCGGTGCAGGCCGGGGTCATCGGCCCCCCATCGGCGATCCATGGGCGATTGGGGGTCGATGCGTTCCCCCTCCCCCATGCCTATCCCACCTGTCGTTGCCCCCGACCAGGGCTCGGGGCCTGGACGTCTGCGGCCCAGCGAACCCCTGCAGGGGTGCCCTCTACAACGCCGACCGTTGGCATGGATGCGGCCGGCCACTTCTCGGGGGTGGCCAAGAGGGAGGCGGTCAAGATTGGGGGGGGCGCGCATCATGGCCGGCGGCATGTGTGCGCGGCCCAAGGGGGGGCCAGGGACGTCATGAGATAAGACGAGGCGCCATGAAACCCAGGGGACTATCGTGGCCCACGCCATGATTTCCACCCCCCCCCAGCCATCACCCCCCTCCTTGCCGCCCCCGAACTCGAGCGCCGGTCGGCACCGCAGCGGGCGCCCCCCCCTCGCCAGGCCCCGCTCCACGCCCTCCTCCTCCTCCTCCTCCTCCTCCTCCTCCCAGCGCCTGCCCCTGCGCCTCTCTCTCTGTGCCGGGGATCGCTCCTGGCCCCGCGTCTCGAGGCGCGCCCGGCCGTGGTGACGAGGAGCCTCCACGGGGGGCCAACGAGAACGGGGGCCCGCAAAGTGTCTCCATTAGAAAGAAAAGAAAGAAACGCCCGCGGGCCAGAGGATGGGCGCGTTTTCCACCACCACCACCACCACCATAAGTGGGAGGAGGTCCTCCTCCTCCTCCTCCTCCTCCTCCTCCTCCTCCTCCTTCTCGTCCTCCTCCTCCTCCTCCTCCTCATCCTGCACTTCCTTCCCCCCATCCAACTTGACGGGTGCCGAGGGCATGGATCACGGTTGGCTCCAGGGCGACCAGAGGGGGGGATCGCAGATCATGGCCCAAGTCATGTGCGCGGTTGCTCCCCGCCTGGCGACTCTTGGACGCCCCCCGCTTGCTACTCCAGAGGCTCTGACCCCTGGACTGGTTTTTGGATGGTCCTGGGGCCCAGGAAGGACCCCCGCAGGCCGAAAATGGCAGAACCCATCCTGTCGTATATGTTTTAACGACTCAATGGGGTCTGACGTCGTCTCGACTGCCCCCCCTCTGGCCAGTGGGCCCCCCCCGAGGGGCCGCGATCGCTGGGCTGCCCAGTTCCTGGCCCCGGGCAGGCGGTCTCTTGCTCGCCGTCGACGCGGATGTCCCCGCGGCGGATGGCCTTCCGTGCCGAGCCGGTGGTGGGCAGGTGGGGGAACGCCCTGGCAACCAGCTGGTGCAGGAAGAGCACCTCCCAGAGGACAGCTTAAGCAGATGCACGAGTGTACATGTCTAGGCACATTCGCATGGATCAACAAGTGGACATCGGTAGCTACACCTGTATAGATACATACTAGAACCACGCGCGCGCTTCGCGCGCGCTTAGGTTCTGTCGAGTCACAGACCCAGGAATCGTTGCGAGAAGAAATTGGTGACGCAAAGCGTCTTGGGGGCGTCCTTGGACGTCTGGGGTCTCCTGGGGCCTCTTGAGGGGCCTCCTTGGGGCCTCCTGGCGGCCTCTTGGGGCGGAAGGCTCGAGCTTGCGGTTCGTGGTCCCCCTCTGGGCCCCCTCTTGGGCCCGTCTTGGGGCCCTCTTGGGCCATCTTGGGCGCCTCTTGGGCCGTCTTGGGGCCCTCTTGGGCTGTCCTGGGGCCCTCTTGGAAGCTTCTTGGGCCGTCTTGGGGCGGTCTTGGGCGCCTCTTGGGCCGTCCTGTAACGTCGGAAAACCCAAAAGACAACTTTGTTGAAAATGTACGTTTTACGAAGGGAATGGGCCAATTTTTGCGTCTAGGGGCCCTCTTGGGACGCATGTTGGAGGCTTCTTGGGGCCTCTTGGGGGCGTCCTTGGACGTCTGGGGTCTCCTGGGGCCTCTTGAGGGGCCTCCTGGGGGCCTCCTGGCGGCCTCTTGGGGCGGAAGGCTCGAGCTTGCGGTTCGTGGTCCCCCTCTGGGCCCCCTCTTGGGCCCGTCTTGGGGCCCTCTTGGGCCATCTTGGGCGCCTCTTGGGCCGTCTTGGGGCCCTCTTGGGCTGTCCTGGGGCCCTCTGGGAAGCTTCTTGGGCCGTCTTGGGGCGGTCTTGGGCGCCTCTTGGGCCGTCCTGTAACGTCGGAAAGCCCAAAAGGCGACTTTGTTAAAAATGTACGTTTTACGAAGGGAATGGGCCAATTCTTGCGTCTAGGGGCCCTCTTGGGACGCATGTTGGAGGCTTCTTGGGGCCTCTTGGGGGCGTCCTTGGACGTCTGGGGTCTCCTGGGGCCTCTTGAGGGGCCTCCTGGGGGCCTCCTGGCGGCCTCTTGGGGCGGAAGGCTCGAGCTTGCGGTTCGTGGTCCCCCTCTGGGCCCCCTCTTGGGCCCGTCTTGGGGCCCTCTTGGGCCATCTTGGGCGCCTCTTGGGCCGTCTTGGGGCCCTCTTGGGCTGTCCTGGGGCCCTCTTGGAAGCTTCTTGGGCCGTCTTGGGGCGGTCTTGGGCGCCTCTTGGGCCGTCCTGTAACGTCGGAAAGCCCAAAAGACAACTTTGTTGAAAATGTACGTTTTACGAAGGGAATGGGCCAATTGTTGCGTCTAGGGGCCCTCTTGGGACGCATGTTGGAGGCTTCTCGGGGCCTCTTGGGGGCGTCCTTGGACGTCTGGAGGCCATCTTCAGCATCTCGGAGCCCTCTTGGAGGCCTCTTGGAAGTTTCTTGGGCCGTCTTGGGCGCTTCTTGGGCCGTCTTGTCTGACTGGGGAGGCCTCCGGCAAGCCCCGACGAGCCTCCGGGCCCCCCGGGGCGCACATTTGTGGTCGAGGTCCCAGCCCCGGGCCCCCGGACCCGGTGCGCCGTTATATGTATATATATATATATAGTCATAACATAAGGTTGCACACATCTAGATGCAGATTCACATAAACGAAGCACGTGGTCACGGATAAGCCCCCACCTTGGAAAATGCCAACAACGAAGACGAAAAGGATCCTCCGAGGCTGCCGAACAACGCACGCACGGGGCGCCTGCAGGGTCAACCTGGAAGAAGGAGCGCGGCGCCCCCACCCCCCGGAACCCCGTCACAGGGCACCGTGAGCACCACAGGGCACCCGTTGGAGCCTCGGCGCCCTCCTGTGACTGAGTCCTGGGACCCCTCCTTCCCCTCCTCCTCCTCCTTCCTCCTCCGCCTCATACCTCTCCTCCTCTTCCTCCTCCTCTTCCTCCTCCTCCGCCTCCTCCTCCTCCTCCTGGTCTTCCTCTTCCTCCTCCTCCTCCTCCTCCTCCTCCTCCTCCTCATCATCATCAGCAGCAGCAGCAGCAGCAGCAGCATCAGCATCAGCATCAGCATCAGCATCAGCATCAGATCATCAGCATCAGCATCAGCATCAGCATCAGCATCAGCATCAGCATCAGCATCATCATCATCATCATCATCATCATCATCATCATCATCATCATCATCATCATCATCATCATCATCATCATCATCATCATCATCATCGTCGTCGTCCTCGTCCTCATCATCATCATCATCCTCCTCCTCCTTATCATCATCATCATCAGCATCAGCATCATCATCATCATCATCATCATCATCATCATCATCATCATCATCATCATCATCATCATCATCATCATCATCATCATCATCATCCTTCCTCTCCTGCGTCTCCTCCTCCTCCTTCTCCTCCTCCTCCTCCTCTCCCCCTCTTCGTCCTCACCATACTTCCCACCCTCCCGTCGGAATCAAAGGGCGGGGAGAGGAGGGGGGATAAAAGGGCCAAGGGCGTGCCCCTAGCCTCGGGGAGCCGAGCGGGAAAAAGGGGGGCGAAGGGGGACGGGTTCAGAAGGGGGCGATCGAGCTGGAATCGACGTTGCATCCCCGATGGATCGGGGTGGGGTGGGCCATCGGGCCCTTATCGGCGGTGTGTGGGCGCCGATTGGGGGTGGATGCGTCCCCCCCCCTGAGGCTTCTTCCCCCCCTGGCGAGGCCACTTAGCTCTCGTGTCACAACTTGGCTCAGCGGCGGCCGTTCGGGACGATGGGGGCAACCCTGGTGGGCCCAGCGAGGCGCAGCCACTGGAGAGCATCCCGAGGCTGACAACGCGCCGAGAACCGACGAGACCGTCAGAAAATCGATGCCCCCCTTGCGCTGCCCCTGATTTGCCCTGGGGGCCACCTCCCGCCGGCCGAACGCCTCCGCCGCCTCCAGGAGCAGCTCGGCGGTGACCGCGACCTCGCGCGCAAGGTCTCTGGGGCCAGGCCCCTCCCTGTGCCAAAAAGGCCCGCCCGGCTTCGCATCTCGCGGGCGAGTCTCGGGGTCGCCACGTGTGCCGGTGCCGAACGAGCGCGAGCGCCGAACAACGCACGATCTGTCGACCGGAGGCCAGCCCTCACCCCACTCCGAGGAGCCACCACTCGCAGAGAAGCAGCAGGGGCGCGGCCTCCTCGGGAGCGAGGAAAGCGGGCTCCGAAACCGTAAGACCGTCGGAGCTCCGCGAGGACCTCCCTTCTCGGATGGGCGCTGGGCCTTCCCGTCCCTCTTTTGGAGCAGGGACCGACCGTCCCGGCATTCCTATAGCCCTACCACGAAATGTTCTTAGAACCCAACAATGCTCTGAAAACAAAGCAAGGCTCTTAGAACAGAAACCCGATGTGCTGAAACAAGACAGACTCCGCCAGAAATGTTCTAAGAACATTTCGTGGTGGAGACCACAAAAAGGTTCGTAGAACATTGTTTGGTACAGTCGGGACGCTGAAGATGGAACCCTTTTCGTTGGGGAGGGGCTCGGTGTTCCTTAATGATTCCACACCTGGCCGAAGGTGTTCCTGAGGTTTCCGATGGGAAAAATCGAATGTCAGCTTCTGAAAAAAGGGGCCTCGTTCCTTATTCAGGGCTCCTTGGGTCAACGCCTCGACTGTCGGGCTATGGGCGAGCCAGGACGCTCCGCCACGGCGCGACTCCTGCGCGGAGCGCGCCCGGGGCGGCGCCGGCAGCGCCGGCCCGAGAGCAGTGGCGCGCGGAGCTCCGAGGGCCGCTTCTCGGAGGGGGAGGCCAGAGCGAGTGGCGCGCCGCCGCCGGGCGCCCACTTGCCAGCCTGGAGCAGATCCCTGTCCCTGTGCTGGGCACCTCCTCATCACGATGCCAATCTCAGGGATCCCCTTCTTTTTTGAGGGCGAATCCCTAAGATGGTCATCGCCTTTTGGCGTGTGAATCTTGGGGATAGGGATACGTTCGAGGCTGGCAACCCACGGGGTCCCACGAGCGCACCGCGCCCTCGCTCGGACGTCCATTTCCCGTGCATTCTTCGGTGTCGTGCGTGTTTCTTTTGTTTGCTCGATGGTCCAGGATCGGGAGCGGCCAAGAGGGGGGTGTCCAAGAGGGGGGGGTGCAAATCATGACCGGCGGCATGTGCGCGGCCCAGCGGGGGGGCCGGGGACGTGATGAAATGAGAGGAGGCGCCACGAGATCTGGGAAAATATCATGGCCCCCGCCATGATATCCACCCCCCCCTAGTCATCACGCCCCTCTTTTCCGCCCCCGAGCAACGTCGACCCCCAGAGGTCTGGACCCCTTGCCCGGGGCCGGTATTTCATCCCGAGTTCTTTTGTTGACGGTCCCGAGGCCCGGGAAGGGCCCCCGCCCCGGGGGCCGAAACTAGCGAAACAACTGCCGTCGTGTTTTGTCTTCACAACGCGAGGAGGTCTGGGTCTGCCTCGTGTTGTTAGGGTCAGGGGTTCTTTTTGTGCTCGGTGATCACCCCCCTCTCTTCCGCCCCCAACAGGATGGTCCTCGAGGGTCCTCGCCGGGGAAAAATATGCGCGCGTCCGCGCGGTGCCGAGGCGCCGCTCTCCCTCGCTCTTGCCCGAGGGCGGGCGTGCTCTGCCACGGCAGCACGCCGACGGACCCGGCGGGCTTACCACGGCGACGTGCCGGCGCTACGGCCGGAGGGGGACGATCTAGGAGCAAAGAAATCGGGCGCCCGAACTATCCGGGGTAACTCGGGTCCGGGGTGATTCGGGTTTGGATTCCCGAAAAACCGACCCGGGTCAGCCCTGACCCGAGATACCCCTGATGATTTGGGGCTCTGGACGCCCGAATTATCCGGGGTAAGTCGGGTCCGGGGTAAGTCGGGTTCGGAATCCCGAAAAACGAACCCGAGTTAGCCCTGACCCGAGTTGCCCCTGATAATTCGGGGCTCTGAGGAAAGGCGACACCAGCACCAGCAGGGCGAGGAGGTGCGCGGAGGCAAGGAGGGCCTCCCTGGTGGTGTGGTCCCCCGCTCTCGCTCGAGACCTCCCCGGTCTCCCGCTCGGGAAGGCACTGTGGACCTCCTCGCTGGAGGTGGGCCCCCTGGTGGTGTTGGCATCGCCTCTCCTCCCGCCGACGATCGGGGGGGGGGGAGCTGGCTCAAAGGACAGACATCGAGCTGGGGTCCACGATGCATCGCCGAGGCATCGGCGATGGGCCCCAAGTCGTAGAGCCGCACATCCCTAGGCGGATGGGCTGAGCATTGTGTATGGGCGATGAGGGGGTCGAGGCATCCTCCCCGAGCGTGTCCCCCCGGGGCGTTGCCCCTTGGCTGTCGGGTCATCATCTCGGCTCCGGCGGCCGTGCGGGGCGATCCCCCGGCCCCCCTGGAACGCCCTTGGGGCGAGGAGCAGCTGGTGGAGAGTCCAGAGGCGGGCAAACCGCCAAGGTCCAGGGAGACCGTGCGAAAACCTGCCCCCCTCCTGAGCCAATACCCCCTAACGTCTGCCCGTGAGCGCCGTTTCTAGAAGCCCCCCCAAAACGGGGTCGGGGCAGACTGGGTCGGAGGATCGCGCAGCATCGGCGATGCCTCGGCGACGTCGGCGTGAGGAAAAATCGGGCTCCACATCGAGCCGCATAGCGGGTACGTCGGTGATGCGTCGCGATCCTGTTACTTTTTCTGCTCTGACCCCATCTGCAAGGCCTCGAGTTAGGTCGAGCATGTCCTCTTACAGGCGGACTTGGGAAAAAAATAAGAACAATTCAAACAAAACAAAAACTGATCAGAAACAGTCGAAAAGTCGTCCCCAAACTGTTGTTTGACTATGTTTGGATATTCCTCTTGTAGACGGACAGGGCCGACTTACGCCTAGAGCTTTGCCCCCCCGTCGAGGAGCATCGTGCAATCGATCCCTGTCCCATCTGGCGTGGCCTGGGCCCCACTGCCGCCCGAGCAGTGATGGAGGCGGGTTCTTTTTCGGGCTTCTAGGGGCACATTCACTAGCTGGGGTCTTGGGATACAAAATAGGGATGGAGATAGGGAGCGGTCAAACCTGAGGTTAGCAAGCAACTACTGGGAGGTCTTCGTCGGAAAGGGGCTGTTACGTCGGATTGGGCCTCGGATTAAGCGGGATTCAGCCAGAGTCAACCGGATTAAACGGGATTGAACCGGATTAAGCGGGATTGAGCCAGATTAAACGGGATTAAGACGGACTTCGGACCAGGCAAAGTCAGAACTCGACCTCCCAGCGTTTGCATCCAAAGATATGGAGCGATCAAGCCTGAGGGAGGCCTGCTTCAGAGCCACCCTTGTTCCGCACAACAGGTCCTCGCAACGTGCGCCCACAACAGAGAGCTCCCATTTGGGCGCCCGACATGGGCATGGGAAAAAATAGGACACAATGCCGAACACCACTTGTTGCCCGAAAACGACAGCGGCCGCTGTTGAGCAGGCGGTCTTCTGTCTCAAATCGACAAAACGCCCGCGGCGGCGCGGACAGCGAGTCCTGTTCTAAATGAACAAGAGCCGCTGTTGGGCATCTAGAGGCCTCCTAGATGGGGTCGGAGTAGATGGGGTCGGAGGATCGCACCGCACCGCCGATACATTGGCGATGCATCGGCGATGCAACAACGATGCATCATCGACGTGGGCGATGTATCCGCGACAAATCGGGCTCCACATCGAGCCGCATCGGCGATGCATCGGCGAGGCGGCGCGATCCTCCGACCCCTTCCACTCGGACCCCATCCAGGAGGCCTGCATTCGCGGCATCGTACCCATTATTGCCGTACCCACTCCGATCGTGCCGATCCAGGATGCTTCAACGATGCCGCTTCGATCCTCCTGGCCGGCAGCCAGCCCGGCCCACTGCTCCGCCGGCGGCAGGCCGCCCGCGGCGCCGGCGGCGCCCTCGGTGCTCCCGGGGAGCGCGTGCCCCGCGGAGGAGAGGAAGGCGGAGGAGGAGGAGGAGGAGGAGGACGAAGAGGGGGAGAGGAGGAGGAGGAGGAGGAGGAGGAGGAGGAGGAGGAGGAGGAAGAGGAGGAGGGATGAGGAGGATGAGGAGAAGGAGGCGGAGCAGAAGGAGGGGGAGGAGTGGAAGGCGGAGGAGAGGAGGAGGAGGAGGAGGAAGAGTATGAGGGAGGAGGAAGAGGAGGAGGTGGAGCAGAAGGAGGGGGAGGAGTGGAAGGCGGAGGAGAAGGAGGACGAAGAGGGGGAGAGGAGGAGGAGGAGGAGGAGGAGGAGAACTAGGAGGAGGAGACGCAGGAGAGAAAGGATAATGATGATGATGATGATGATGATGATGAATGATGATGATGATGATGAGGAGGAGGAGGAGGGAGGAGGAGGAGGAGGAGGAGGAGGAGAGGAGGACCAGAGGAGGAGGAGGAGGAGAGAAGAGGAGGAGGAAGAGGGGAAGGAGGAGGAGGAGGACGAGGAGAAGGACGACGAGGAGGACGAGGAGGAGGAGAAGGCGTGGAGGAGGAGCAGGGGGAGGAGGAGGAGGAGGAGGAGAAGGAGGAGGAGCAGGAGGAGGAGGGGGGGAGGAGGAGGAGGGAGGAGGATGATGAGGAGGATGATGAGGAGGAGGGGGAGGAGGGGGAGGAGTGGAAGGAGGAGGATGATGATGATGAGGAGGAGGAGGAGGGGGAGGAGTCGAAGGCGGAGGAGAAGGAGGAGGAGGAGGAAGAGGAGGAGGAGGAGGAGGAGGAGGAGGGGAAGGAGGAGGAGGAGGACGAGAAGGACGAGGAGGAGGAGGAGGAGGACGAGGGATGCAGGTGACGAGGCGCCCGAGGTGGCCCACCTTGGCTCGCCTCCGCAGGCCGAAGGGTCGGCTGGCCCCAAGGCATCCTCCAGAGGCCTCCCAGAGCAGAGGGGGATCCGAGCAGACGGGCTCGGAGGGTCGCAGCTCTGTAGGCACCCTCCTGCCCCTCCCTCCCCTTCCTCCCTCCTCGCTTCGCCCTCCTCCCTCCCCTTCCTCCCTCCTCCCTCCTCCCTCTCCCCTTCTACCTCTCCCCTTCTCCCCTTCTTTCCTTTTGTTTTTGCGTTCTT